CATACATACACTAACAGACATACATACACACACACTAACAGACAAACATATATACAAATTATTAATATTATAAAAATTAACATTTCCCACCCACCCAGCATCCCTACCTTTTAGGAAAGCTGGCATGGATGGGTCCCTGGGGTCCACTGGGGCTACAGTAAAGCGGGCAGCTCTCTCCCTGTCACACGCGGCCAGGGACGTTTTAGCCGCGAGGCAAACAAGGCATTTGCCTTGGGCGGCATTTTTCAGGGGGCGGCAAAAAACACCGCCCCCAAATGCCCAGGGCAAATGCCTAGTTAGCCTTGCGGCTAACTGACATGCTGGGCTGGCGGGTGGCGCTGGCTGATGGTCGGGCGGGCGGCTGGCGAGGGAGCTCTTCCTCTGAGCTGTCTGCTCAGCTCCCTCACGCGCCGCAGAGTGAGGCTGGGAGCCAGAATATGACGTCATATTCCGGCTCCCAGCCTTACTCTGGCGCGCGAGGGAGCTGAGCAGACAGCTCAGAGGAAGAGCTCCCTCGCCAGCCGCCCACCCAGCACCCAGTAGCCAGCTCATCAGCCCTACCAGCAGCGACTGGACCCACAGGGAGAAAGAGAACCTCCCCAGCATTCTCAAAGGTAAGGGGGGGGGGTTAAATAAAATAAAAAAAAGTGTTAATGTAAGTGATTGTGTGTGTGTGTATGTCTGACTGTGTGTGTCTGACTGTGTGTGTGTGTGTTTGTGTCTGACTGTGTGTGTGTCTGTGTGTGTGTGTGTGTGTGTGTGTCTGACTGTGTGTGTTTCTGACTGTGTGTGTGTGTGTCTGACTGTGTGTGTGTGTGTTTGTGTCTGACTGTGTGTGTGTCTGACTGTTTGTGTGTGTGTCTGTCTGTTTGTATGTGTGTGTGTCTGACTGTGTGTGTATTTAGAAGGTGGGGCGGGGGGAAGGGTTGGGTGGGGGTGGCGTCGTGGCAAGGGGGCGCCTGTGTTTTGTCCTGCCCAGGGCAGCACAAAACCAGGAGCTGTGTCCTCTCTGCTCCTCTTGCTGCGCGGGTTGTCTGTTGATGCTGGGAGCCAGAAGAACCGGAAGAACTACCCACCTGTCCGCGAGCTGGTTACCCCACCATGCAACCCGAATGGGAAGCTCCAAGACAGCCAAAGTCTGCAAGAGCCCCAATGCTTGCCAGCTTACTGGGCAAGAGTCAGCACCATGGAAAACCCCAAATGGCCCCAAAAAAAACCAAATCCACTGCAGCGGCAAAAAGTGAAAGTCAGTGGAAGGGAGGGCCTGATTGCACAAGCCAACGTTAATGGAGGCCCAAAAGAAAACCCCATACAGCCACAAGGGCAACACCGACAGGCAAACCCCAGCTTACCCAGGAGAGCCCACAGGTAGCGCAGCTGAAACCCCCAACACCCCCAGAACCACTGACACCTCCCACTGGATGTCCTAAACCGCAGTCTGGGGCAACCGACGTTCCCCAGCCACTATTTTTATATTGTAGTATTTGTGTAGCACTATTAGTATGGCATGTAGTATTTGTGTTGCACTATTAGTATGGCACTATTGTTATATTGTAGTATTTGTCTTGCACTATTAGTATGGCACTATTTTTATATTGTAGTACTTGTGCTGCACTATTAGTATGGCACTATTGTTATATTGTAGTATTTGTGTAGCACAATTTTTATATTGTAGTATTTGTGTTGCACTATAAGTATGGCCCTATTGTTATATTGTAGTATTTGTGTTGCACTATTAGTACGCACTATTTTTAAATTGCAGTATTTGTGTTGCACTATTAGGACGCACTATTTTTATATTGTAGTATTTGTGTTGCACTATTAGTATGGCACTATTTTTATATTGTAGTATTTGTGTTGCACTATTAGCCTGGCACTATTTTTATATTGTAGTATTTGTCTAGCACAATTTTTATATTGTAGTATTTGTATATCACTATTAGTCTGGCACTATTTTTATATTGTAGTATTTGTATAGCATTATTAGTCTGGCACTATTTTTATATTGCACAGTTTGTATTGTGCTATTTGGAGTGCTCTTTTTATATGGCAATATTTATTTTGTGCTAAATGTGGTGCACTATTACGATTGTGCTCTTTGTATAATTGTAGAGGTTTCTGTGAAATATTTTACTGCCACAAGGTGACAGACCGCTTGGTACCCCGACTGGGTACCTCCGCTAAGCACGCTCCCTAGCTATCGCCGGGACACCATCAGCATTTCAGCTCCTAGCCGCCGCAGCTTGGCCAGGGTCCCGAAGTCGCTTCCCACCCTGGAACATTGTCCTGGATCTAGTTTCTAGTGATTAAAGCTCTCCTGCAGAGAGTATTGCTGTTTAGCTGGTACACACAAACACTATTCCAGGCTGAGTGAAGGATGTAAAAGGACTGGTTTATTATGGTCAAGTTGCCTGCTTTTATACACAGCCCCCAGCATAGGGTCTCCATTCAATACAAGACAAGCCCCTCCCATAGATCTCTGTGCCTGGGCGATAATTACTTTAAAGACTGGTAAGCTAAATATCTCACAGATACAGAGAGGCAAACAGTGGGGCAGGGATCGTGTGGGGATGGTGCTAGTGATTGGCTGTATGTGTTTAGGGGAGTTGTTATGGGTTTGTAGTGGGGCAGGGATTATCTTACCTCAGTGCCTTTTGGGATTCTGGCCAGCAAACAACTTCCCTCCCACCCACCATAATTTTATGTTTTTTGTTCCGTCACAGCTAGCGGGGAGTGTGTCCTTGCCAACAGGGTTGTGGAGCAGATGGAATGTCAGGAGATGGATAAGGTGGATCTCAACCTCCCCTTTCAAGTTACTGAATAGGACGTGCCCACCGAGAAAAAAAGCCCACTGGTGGTAGAGCATTTAAGATGATGGGAATTTTTGGTTTGGACGAGGGGGGAGGTGAGACACCAGTGGGTTAAGTTTTTTGGTGCATATGCCATGGATGGTTTTGGTGGGGTCCCCCGCTGGTTTTAGACGTAAAACAGCAGGGTTGTGGCCAGGGGTATGTCCTTGCCAATTAAGTTTGAGATGGTTATGTTAATTATGTGTAAGGAAGTGAACAAGTTTTCAGGTCTCAACCTCCCCTGCTCTAAAGGGTTAACCTTAGGTTACCTGTTATGCCATGCCCACTGAGCATGGATAAGGTCGGTTAGTGGTAAGCATTGGATGGAAAAGGAGTTTATGCAGAGGGAGGAGGTGAGAGGAAGTGGTACATAGGCCCATGGTCAGTTTATTGGCAAGGACGGATGGGTTCACTGTATGACACTATGTGTTAAGTTATATTTTAAGTTATGGTTATTTATGTTTTGACGTTTTGATTATATCAAAGAAAAGAGAATATTAAAATAAAATATGGATGTGTTATACAGTAATTATCATATGTTATAATAAATGCTGTGGCCTGTTTCATCCATACTATGTTGTCTGTCATTATTTGGGTGAATTTTGTTGGTTTTGTTATTATGCTGCATTGCGATTCCTCACTACGTACATACATGTTTTATTGCTGATGATACTAAGATATGTAACAGGGTTGATGTTCCAGGAGAGATAAGCCAAATGGCAAATGATTTAGGTAAACTAGAAAAATGGATAAATAAAATGAGATGGCTCATATAGGAAAGACAAACAATATATTGAATGAATATACAGGGAGTGCAGAATTATTAGGCAAATGAGTATTTTGACCACATCATCCTCTTTATGCATGTTGTCTTACTCCAAGCTGTATAGGCTCGAAAGCCTACTACCAATTAAGCATATTAGGTGATGTGCATCTCTGTAATGAGAAGGGGTGTGGTCTAATGACATCAACATGGAAGAAAAATTAATTAATTATATAATTAATAAATTATCCAGGAATAGTAAATGCCTTAAAGATAATAATTGGTGTTATAAAAATGTAAGTAAATTTTTAAAAAATAATAAAAACTGGAATAAAAATAACGAAAAACAGTTATTTTCAAATTCAAGTCCAATGGTTAACAGTCTATTTGCTAAAAAGCTGTATCATAGTAGCTATAAATGAAGAAGATAAATAGTCTGTATAAGTCTATGTTTGTAAGCTAATTCAGTTCACTCCAGTTATAGATGAACTGGGATCTAGATACTGAATTAGTTATTTAGTATGGTACAATATAACAATATATATGGTCCTTATAATTGTAATATTGTATCTGTATTGGAGAATGTATAACTAACTGACAGGCTATATGTAGTAGCCTTTAGTTATAATACTTTACTCCTAATGATAGGAGATAGAGTGAAAAAATAAAATAGGATCCAAGTGCTAATATAGAGAATTATTTCAAGTGTTAATATATTAAAAAATTGATTTATTGTAAGGTAAACTTGAAATAAAAATTGAAAAACAAAATTGAAAAACAAAATGTAACACTCACATTAATTTAAAGTATTTTTTAAAAATTTACTTACATTTTTATAACATCAATTATTATCTTTAAGGCATTTACTATTCCTGGATAATTTATTAATTATATAATTAATTAATTTTTCTTCTATTTGCATTATAAGGGATTTTTAGTGGAGTCTCTTTATTTCCAGTAGAGTGGTTTAGCCTTGCCATTATTCATTCTCTAACTAGAGTTTTACTTTTAAAGTAATCTCACCCATTAACCCTTTATTTACATTCCACTAATTAGAGAAACAAATATGGCATTACATAGAGATCTTGATTTTATTAGAAATAACAGAAGAAACGCATTTGATACAATGATTAATGAAGGCACTAAAGAAATGAGCACAAAAGTACAAAGTACCAAAGAAGCTAATAAAACTTTAGATATTAGATCATCTATTTACAAATTAGGCAAAATAATGGAAAAAGAGGTACATCTGTGGTGGGATATAGCAAGTTTAGAATTTTATGTTTCAAATAATCTAGTTCCAAGAGGTCTCCGCCTCTTTAAAACTCTTGCTTACAAAAAAGATGATGTTAATTTACTCACTAAATGGGATCAACTTTTGGATAAAGGTTCCTTACTCCTTATGATATTTCTTATAAATGAAAAGAAAAAAGAATTAGAACAAATGGATAAAGATATAAAAGAAATGAAAGAGAAATTAATTCCACAAGTAGAAGATGGCGCATATGTAGAATTGTTAGATAAAATAGAAAGACGAGTAAAAGATTTGGAAATTCAAGTGAAAACTACCAAGCAGAAAAAACTTATGAGAGATAAAGAAGATTACAATCTGGGAAGACAGAGAAATTGGAAAAAACATACATTCAATAATCAAGAAAACCATTACAACAGCAATTATAAACCATTTCAACATCGTCAGTACCAACCATATAGATCAAACAATTATCATAATCAAAATCGTAAGTACAGACATCACACATATCCACATTATAATCAATATCCATCACGCCCTGATACACAGTATCATTACAAACCACCTAATTACAACTTACAAAAAGATTCTTCTACATTTAAATCTCACACACCATCCATAAAACCCAAGCCATCATCTAGGACATTAAAATTGAATTCACCGCCACATATATCACATCAATCTCAAGGTCAACATATTGAGACCCCCACTTCGCCATCTTTTTTGGGGACTTTTTTAGGGAGAAAACGTATAAGAATACACTCAAGAGAAAAAGAAGAAACTACAAAGATTCACAAATCACCAGTCCAACACAACACAAGGACATTAAGGGAACAAGAGACCAGATGGAGAGAACACACGCAATCACCATCCCCCAAAAGGAAACCAAGACAAAGAAAAGAACAAGACGGAGAACTATTAAGACAACAATACCACAACCACAATCAAAGGAAATAAATGTATTCAATCTATCTCAGAGAGTGTTAACACAAGATGAAACATCTTTACTTCAAAAAGGATTAAAATTTGCCCCCAGCTCATCGAATTCACAATTCGATATTTTTATTGACCTTCACAAATTCATTCGAAAATTAACCATTAAGAAGTTTTTTCTTGATAAAGAACCCCAAACTCTATCAAATACGAGTACTTATCAACATACCAATCTACATCCACAGTCCACGTTCTATCCAGAACAAGTTAAAACAGACTATATTAAAGTCTTTGAAAAAAATATGGAAAAAGACCTTCGAACACTAAATCTTAAAAATAATACCAAAGATAATTTAACCAAAAAAGAGAGAAAAGCCTTAAAACAATTAATGGAGGATGAAAACATAACGATAAGAGGAGCAGACAAAGGTGGAGGTTTAGTGATATTGAACACTACAGATTATAAAAAAGAAAATCAAAGATTACTTCAAGATACTAGTACATATCAAATTCTAACTAAGAATCCAACTAATGAATTCCAGTCAGAATTACAAATATTATTGGAAGAGGGTAAAGAAAGAAATATTTTAACAAAAAAAGAATATGATTATCTTTATTCCAAATTTCCTAGAATGGCTATATTCTATCATGTACCTAAAATCCATAAAATGCTTACAAATCCACCAGGCCGCCCAATAATTTCTGGCATAGGTTCTTTAACCTCTAATTTATCAGAATATGTTGATCAATTCCTGCAAAAGATAGTGCCTAAACTACGGTCTTACCTAAGAGATACTACTCACATTATCACCTTTTTATCAAGTATAGAATGGGATTCACAATATATTCTAGTAACAGCAGATGTCACATCCCTATACACAGTTATTGAACATTTACAGGGATGTGAAGCCATTCAATATGCACTTGCCACTTTTTCAGATCTTAAGAATGATCAAATTGAGTATATTGTAAAATGTGTAGCCTTTATTCTTAGTCATAATTTTTTTTGGGCCAACAATCACTATTATCTACAAATCGAGGGCACTGCCATGGGTACCAGATTTGCGCCCAGTTATGCAAATTTATTTATGGGAAAATGGGAAGACGAACAAATCTGGTCGAATAACCCATTTGGCGCAAATCTGGTCTCATGGCATCGCTATATAGATGATTGTATTTTTATCTGGAAAGGAAATATGGAATCGTTGGAAAATTTTAAGGAATATTTAAATTTTAACCCTTATAATTTAAAATTTACTTTTAACCAATCCACAGAAAAACTTGAGTTTTTAGATCTTGAAATTTATATTCAGAATAACAAATTGGAAACCAAAACTTTTAGAAAAACAGTAGCATGTAACAGTTTTATCCCTCACAATAGTTTTCATAAAAGAACATGGCTAAACAATATTCCGTTTAGCCAGTTTAGAAGGATAAAAAGAAATTGTTCTGAACCCAAAATATGTGTCGAACAAACTAAAATGATGACAGCACAATTCCAAGCAAAAGGTTATTCAAGTAAAATTCTAAATCAAGCTCTAACCAAGACCTCCCTTCTATCTAGAAACCATATTTTGGCAACTAAGACACATAAAGATTCATCTAATTTGGAAGCTCCCACTTTTATAACAAGATATAATAGTCATACCCATCAAATTAGAAATATTCTACAAAAAAATTGGAATATTCTCAAAGGAGACCCCCAATTAGGACGAATATTAAGTAATAAACCTCGAATAATATACTCCAAAGCCCCCAATTTGGGTTTATTATTAGCACCCACAACAAAACAAGAAAAACCAAAGCAAAATAAAACTACTTTTTTTAAAAATCTAGCAGGCTTTTGGAAATGTAAAAAATGTCAAGCATGCATAAATAATTCAAATCAGTCTAAAAATATTATAGAATTTAGTCACCCACAAACAAATGAAATTTTTAAAATAAAATCACACTTAAATTGTAACACTATTGGAGTAATTTATCTATTAAAATGTCCCTGTGATAAAATGTATGTGGGACGCACCAAAAGGGCTTTTAAAACACGAATGGGAGAACATATCAGAAATATTAAAAATGGACTCCATTCACATAATCTTTCGAAACATTTTGATCTTATACATGCAAGGAATCCTAAGGGACTTATCTTTATGGCAATTCAAAAAATAAATATTCCATGGAGAGGAGGAGATTTAGAAAAAGAATTAGATAAAGCAGAAGCCAAATGGATATTTCAGTTAAACACGTTAGAACCTAACGGTTTAAACGTAGATTTTGAATTAAGAGCTTTTTTATAATTAATCCATTTTTTTTTTCTTCAAATGATTAATAATTTTTTAAATATAAATTTTTAAAATAAATGAGTTTTAATCAAGTATCAAATACCTTATGAACTGTTTAACTATACTATTATTTTTATGACAATATATTTTAATATGTGAATCTTTTATAATCTTTTAAAAAATATATTATGTTATTTATCTCTTTTTTAATGAGTAGTATATATAGGTCCAATATGTATTATAATCTTTTTTGTTCAAATTCCAAAACATTGTAAAAATCTTTTATTGTATATGATTGTACTATTGAATGAATCCAGTGCTATATTTAACATTAACCATAAGGGGTTAACATAAACCAGAAGTTCTGCTGGCTATTTAAACCCACAAGAAACCTCAATCAGACATCCTCTGATGAAGTGAGCTAAGCCTCACGAAACGCGTAAGGACGATATTCAGAACGACAGAACGACATTTCACTGCTTTTCGGCATCTACCGGCATCTTTCCGGCATCTACCGCAACACTGCTGATTTGCATCTGGAACGCAGACGGAGAATTTGGTGGAACGCATGCGGCTTGAAAACTATACACTTCACATCTGATGATCGGACAGTCTATTTTTTCTTTAAGCTGCTTACACCCTCCTCTGGCTCCATATTCGGCAAAACTTTTAATCAACAGGGAGAATTTGGTGGAATGCACGCGGCTTGAAAATCATTCACTTTACATCTGATGAGCGGACAGTCTATTTTTTTCAGCTGCTTACACCATCCTCTGGCTCCATATTCAGCATAACTTTTAATCAATGTGAGTGCAACTTTTTGCTTTTTAATCTTTATTTCAAGTTTATCTTACAATAAATCCATTTTTTTTTAATATATCAATACTTGGAATAATTTTCTGTATTAGCACTTGGATCTTATTTTATCTCATCACTTTATTTCCTATTATTAGGAGTAACAGTATTAAAACTAAAGGCTACTTTATATAGCCTGTCAGTTAGTTATTTATTCTCTGGTACAAGATACAATGTTACAATTATAAGGACCATATATATTGTTATATTGTACTATACTAAATAACTAATTCAGTATCTAGATCCCAGTTCATCTATAACTGGAGTGAACTGAATTAGCTTACAAACATAGACTTATACAGACTATTTATCTACTTCATTTATAGCCACTGTGATATAGCTTTTTAGCAAAAAGACTGTTAACTATTGGACTTGAATTTGAAAATAACTGTTTTTCGTTATTTTTTCCAGTTTTTATTTTTTTAATTTACTTACAATTTTACAACACCAACTATTATCTTTAAGGCATTTACTATTCCTGGATAATTTATTAATTATATAATTAATTAATTTTTCTTCTATTTGCATTACAAGGGATTTTTAGTGGAGTCTCTTTATTTCCAGTAGAGTGGTTTAGCCTTGCCATTATTCATTCTCTAACTAGAGTTTTACTTTTAAAGTAATCTCACCCATTAACCCTTTACCATTTAACTGTCCACATTATAAATTATATATCAAATATTTATATTTCAGAAATATTAACATTTTAAAAATATTTAATTTAATTGTATTTACTGTACGGCATTAATCTCAATTCCAGAAATTACTTTTACATCCTGTTACAATGTTTAGTAAGCTGTACTGCTAGTAATACCTTCAGGTCTTTACAAATAATGTTTTTGACCATTTTTACTTATACATTTTTTCACACCTACTGTATGTGAGAAAAAGTGAATTTTTGCATTTAAACTAATATTTCAGAAACTGTGCCAAATATTGCAATATAAAGAACGTTGTATAATTTTGCCTCTTTATAAATCACTGGTAAGACCACATATTGAATATGCTGTGCAATTTTGGGCACCTGTTCTAAAGAAGGATATTATGGCACTAGAAAAAGTGCAGAGGCAGGCTACAAAATTAATAAAAGGAATGGAACATATCAGCTATGAAGAAAGGTTAACAAATTTAAACCTATTTAGTTTAGAAAACGTCGCCTGAGAGGGGATATGATAACATTATACAAATATATTCGGGGCCAATACAAACCATTGTGTGGAAATCTATTCACAAACCGGACTTTACATAGGACACGAGGCCATGCGTTTAGACTGGAAGAAAGAAGATTTCATCTAAGGCAAAGGAAAGGTTTTTACTGTAAGAACAATCAGGATGTGGAATTCTCTGCCTGAAGAAGTGGTTTTATCAGAGTCCATACAGATGTTCAAACGGCTACTAGATGCATACTTGCAAGAACAGAATATTCAAGGATATAATCTTTCAATGTAGGGTAATAACTGCTTGATCCAAGGATAAATCTGACTGCCATTCTGGGGTCAAGAAGGAATTTTTTTCCTAGCTTGTTGCAAAATTGTGCTTCAAACTGGGTTTTTTTGCCTTCTTTTGGATCAACAGCAAAAAACAAATGTGAGGAAGGCTGAACTTGATGGACGCAAGTCTCTTTTCAGCTATGTAACTATGTAACTATGTAACTACAGGAGTGCAGAATTATTAGGCAAGTTGTATTTTTGAGGATTGTTTTATTATTGAACAACAACCATGTTCTCAATGAACCCAAAAACTCATTAATATCAAAGCTGAATATTTTTGGAAGTAGTTTTTAGTTTGTTTTAGTTATAGCTATGTTAGGGGGATATCTGTGTGTGCAGGTGACTATTACTGTGCATAATTATTAGGCAACTTAACAAAAAACAAATATATACCCATTTCAATTATTTATTATTACCAGTGAAACCAATATTACATCTCAACATTCACAAATATACATTTCTGACATTCAAAAACAAAACAAAAACAAATCAGTGACCAATATAGCCACCTTTCTTTGCAAGGACACTCAAAAGCCTGCCATCCATGGATTCTCTCAGTGTTTTGATCTGTTCACCATCAACATTGCGTGCAGCAGCAACCACAGCCTCCCAGACACAGTTCAGAGAGGTGTACTGTTTTCCCTCCTTGTAAATCTCACATTTGATGATGGACCACAGGTTCTCAATGGGGTTCAGATCAGGTGAACAAGGAGGCCATGTCATTAGATTTTTCTTTTATACCCTTTCTTGCCAGCCACGCTGTGGAGTACTTGGACGCGTGTGATGGAGCATTGTCCTGCATGAAAATCATGTTTTTCTTGAAGGATGCAGACTTCTTCCTGTACCACTGATTGAAGAAGGTGTCTTCCAGGAACTGGCAGTAGGACTGGGAATTGAGCTTGACTCCATCCTCAACCCGAAAAGGCCCCACAAGCTCATCTTTGATGATACCAGCCCAAACCAGTACTCCACCTCCACCTTGCTGGCGTCTGAGTCGGACTGGAGCTCTCTGCCCTTTACCAATCCAGCCACGGGCCCATCCATCTTGCCCATCAAGACTCACTCTCATTTCATCAGTCCATAAAACCTTAGAAAAATCAGTCTTGAGATATTTCTTGGCCCAGTCTTGACGTTTCAGCTTGTGTGTCTTGTTTAGTGGTGGTCGTCTTTCAGCCTTTCTTACCTTGGCCATGTCTCTGAGTATTGCACACCTTGTGCTTTTGGGCACTCCAGTGATGTTGCAGCTCTGAAATATGGCCAAACTGGTGGCAAGTGGCATCGTGGCAGCTGCACGCTTGACTTTTCCCAGTTCATGGGCAGTTATTTTGCGCCTTGGTTTTTCCACACGCTTCTTGCGACCCTGTTGACTATTTTGAATGAAACGCTTGATTGTTCGATGATCACGCTTCAGAAGCTTTGCAATTTTAAGAGTGCTGCATCCCTCTGCAAGATATCTCACTATTTTTGACTTTTCTGAGCCTGTCAAGTCCTTCTTTTGACCCATTTTGCCAAAGGAAAGGAAGTTGCCTAATAATTATGCACACCTGATATAGGGTGTTGATGTCATTAGACCACATCCCTTCTCATTACAGAGATGCACATCACCTAATATGCTTAATTGGTAGTAGGCTTTCGAGCCTATACAGCTTGGAGTAAGACAACATGCATAAAGAGGATGATGTGGTCAAAATACTAATTTGCCTAATAATTCTGCACTCCCTGTATGTATACTGCCTGACGTATTTCATTCCCAAATGTTTTTCTGAAGGACAAAAGAATAAGTGAAAAATTAAAATTGTGTACATTTACATATTTTTAATGTTTAAATTTGTCTGCAAAGCAACCTATACGCAAAATGTCTGTGGTATAATATTGTATATACTAGCTATGCATCCATTGCTTCAAATGAATGTTATGCTAATATTTTTTTCAATCAAAAAGCACTGAGTTGTGAAGGGGTTAAAAGAAAAAGACTGGGACTCCTATTTTCACCTCTCTAGAATTGTTACATCCCGACTGTGTGTAAGAACATGGCCAGGTAGAAATGTAAAAAAAAAAATGTTTTTCCTAGTAAATTAAGTATATTGAAAACTACAGATTATTAATTTTTCTAAATGTAAGCAAAAGAGGCAAACTGTTAATAACTGCCTTGCAAAATGTCCCAGCCTTGAGATTTTAACCTTATAAATGAAGCGTTAAATTAGCCATAATTCATTGTTTAATAAATTCCAAATTACAGAAGGTTTGTGGATTTTTCAACTTTGTGGAGCACATGAGCTATAAAGGCTCAAGTAATATTGAACCAGAACAAAATATCTAACAGAGGTTCTATGGAGGATTGAATGAGTCACTATTGTAACTACTGCAGAATAACATTTTATGGCAGTCTACCTTAAGCTTAACACCCACGCAAGAAACAACAATACAAAACAAGTGGGGACAAAGGCGAAATATATAAAAGCATGTATTACTTACGCTTATGTTCTCCTGATTAAGGCAGGTAAATAAAAAAGATAAAATGATACAAAATACAATAAAACCACTCAAGATAATGTCTAAAAAGTATAAAAATGTTTAATGAGTTTAATGACTTAATTTCCTTTTTAAGTTGCAACTTCTCAAGATTATTTTTAAAGAAACCCACTTGATTTTGGGAGGAAAAGGTGCCAACATGAACTCACTGCTTCATGCAGTGAAAACCTTTTATTGTAAGATATATCTCGGCTCTTGTACCAGTAATTTCTTTTGAAAAAAAGAGGGGCTCTCACTGAAGTAGCATTGTTAACTACTGCTATGCTGACTGCGGTGAAATAAGTAGGGCATTTTTTTTAAAATCATCATTATTTTGCACGTATGTAATATAAATTTTCATGCCGGTCAAGTAAACATCTCCATCTGTAATAGCAGATTGCCTGACTTCGTGAATGAATAAATTAGGTTTGGGAGGATAGGGAGATGGTATGAAATAGAGAACGATTATATACTAAGGAGGTAGGTACATTAAAGGTTGAAGCTATAAGTAGGGAAGTGAGTGATTGAATAGGTAGACGTTTGAATTAAGAGGATTTGAAAATGTTCAGAATGGAATTTTTGCCTTCTTTTGAATCAACTGCAAAAACAAATTTGAGAAAGGCTGAACTTGATGGACGCATGTCATTTTTCAGCTATGTAACTATGTAACTATGATTATCGCACAATGATATAATGTGTTGTACCTTCTTGTTGAGTCCACCACCCTGCATGTTGATAAAAAAAAAAAAAAATCAAGGCAATCACCTAGAAGATTTTGGGCAGCACTTTTCTTGGCTAATCAGCTGTGATGAGTTTAAAATGTAATGTCTGCAAAGTAATTAATAATTAAGCTT